ATTTAGCCACGTATGTACAATACATCTTGTTCGTCAACAAACAGTATTAAAATTAATTAAAGTTTAAAACATTAAAATACATTAAAAAATAAAAAAACATCAGACAAATTTTTTTGTTTACCAAATTTAATTTTAATTTAATAACTTTGTCAAAATATGTCTAAAAATTGTTATTTTAAGCAATTTAGAGCGATTTAGTTAACCTCAATTATCCAAGAAAATATCACACAAATTAAATCTTTAAATTATTCTTTAAAAGTATAAAAAACCAAAATTTTTATTCTTGATATACGCTAAAAATACAATTTTTGGCCAAAATTTAGTTTGTTCTCCTCTCTTGTTTTGTAAAGTTTGATTTTATTTGTTTAATTTATAACAACTAATTTTGAGTCCATAAAAAAACATTCTGTAAATGAAGTTTGGTAAACTTTTTATCCTTTTTCGCTGCATTTAAAAAAGATCGGTTTAGTTTTTATTTTAGTTTAAGCATTTGTGTCGTTTGATGAAAAATTATTTTTTTATTGTCTGAATAGAAAAGATATAGCAAAACCAAACATAATGCACTATTTCTAATTATCATAAATGACGTGTTTTAATTTAACATGTGTGTAAATTTCGCTGAAACGTTAATTCCAAAATTGTGATAAATTTCCGCCGAAATCTTCAAAATAAACACTTAAAAATTATGCATATTTCAAGATTTCTAATTTCGCACTAAGCAAAATTTTACTAAAAGTTGCAATAACAAGAAAAGTCTCATAAGAAATCTTTGATCTGTAAGAGAAAACTCAATCGTAAAACTTATACAGGGTGCGTCAGAACTTGCGTTCCAGTGGCTATTAGAAGAGGAAACAAGGAAGCCGTATCCTAAATTATTGTAACTTTGTTTAATGTTATTTGTGGCTTTTATTGACAAAATTTTTGTACCTTTACTAAATAATTATGAAAAAACATAGCGAAACTAAATTTTTTAAACATTTTTTCCATGTTTCTGGTATCTTGAAATTTTTCTCTGGGGCCCAAGTTCTGACATACCTGTATTTTTAAAATTAGAAAACCATAAAAAATACGTGTCATTGATGTGAGTTCAAGTTACAGCCCTTGAATATTTAAAGGCCCTCCGCTGCGCATTAGGCTTTAAAAATTTTTTTCGGCCTAACCTAATATTGTTTTATTTTTCACTTGACTATAATTGTTTCTTTTCACCTAGGATACGAGCTCTATAATGAAGGTCTTTAATAATTTTTAATAATCAAATAAAAACTGGAATCATTTAGTGAAATTTATTCAACAGAAATACAATTTTATGTTATTTTTAATCTTTAAACTTGAAAACACAATTAGAAAAGGAGCCACTAAATACACAATCACTTAAAACCTACCAATTCTTAAAAATACCCCACCAGAATTGTCTCATTGATAATTTGTACCAAGTTTTTGTTTATCCAGTCGTCAAATTTCTGAAATTCTTTTTCATTTTGCAACTGCGCTTTTTAATTCATAACACTGAATTATTGAAGATTTTACCAAAAATCGATTTAAAAGTGAAAAATAAAACGTTGTATGTACCACAGGCATAACTTGATGTTTATGTACCTCGGGCAACTTACAAAATCTCGGGCCGGAGGCAATCTTGTTGCCCTCGAACATAAACATCCTTGTTATGCCCTTAATACATAAATAACTATTATAGTCTAAAAACTGTATACATTATTGTACTATGTGGTTATGAATGATTTTCATTTAGCCAGCTTTGACTTTTCCATGTAAAATAAAAAATGCCGCTTTACGAAAATAGGGGTACCTACTTGTTTTAACTCAAAATTAAAAAATCGCCGTTTAATAAGCGTCCACTTCAAAAGTAGACTTCAATCATAAACTTGTTTTCTTCCAAAGTATATATTCTTATCAATTATTATTGGAAATTAGTTGAAACAATAAAAGTTTAATTAACAACAATTTAATATTAAATAATAAGTGACACTAATGATAGAACTAGAGCTTTCAAAAAAGTAGAGCGGCACAAATAAACTTACATGCAAAAAAAATCCAAAGCTGGCTAGATGAAAATCATTTATAACCACTCTATATAAGTCGACAACTCGAAAGGTGTATATCCCCTCGGGGCACATATCCCGCACTTACCCTGCACTTTCCTCTCCGACCTACTATACTTGAAAAATTTGTAGTTTAGCCGTTAATGGCAGTAAAAAATATATAAACAAACCACAAAACGAACTTGAGCTGGGAGGAGAAACATATTTGCGGTTCCCATTCAATAATTCAATCTGAAGACACAGACAATCAGCGCAGTTGCGGTCGTCTCGTAATATTAAATAAAAGACTCTTCTTGTAATGTAGAAAGTCGAGAAAAACGTTAATGCGGGCTGAACGTGAAACAATAAACTCGCCACGATTGATTTATTTCAAACAAAGAATCGACATCATTCGACCGGTAATTGCATTTTTGGACCAGATTTTTTCAGCATCGATGCTCTGAAAACAAATTCTCGTGTGTCTGAAACCGTTAAAAACTGCCTTAACTCCAATTAAAGCCTTCCACCCTGTAATAATAGCCGTCAGCTAACATTCGAAACATAGCGATACAAAAATTTTTGACAGATAGAATTTTAACATTTTTTCCATGTTTCTGGTACCTTATCTTACTTGAAATTTTTTTCTGGAGCCCAAGTTCTGACATACCTGTATTTTTAAAATTAGAAAACCATAAAAAATACGTGTCATTGGTGACGGTTCAAGTTATAGACCTTGAATATTTAAAGGCCCTCCGCTGCGCGTCAGGCTTTAAACATTGTTTTCGGGCTAACCTTACATTGTTTTATTTTTCACTTGACTATAATTGTTTTTTTCACCAAGGATACGAGCTTTATAATGCAGGTCTTTAATAATTTTTAATAATCAGATAAAAACTGGAATCATTTAGTGAAATTTATTCAACAGAAATACAATTTTATGTTATTTTTAATATTTAAACTTGAAAATACCCCATCAGAATTGTCTCATTGACAATTTGTACCAAGTTTTTGTTCCTCCAGTCTTCAAATTTCTGAAATTATTTTTCGTATAACTCTTTGGATTTCTTTGGGAGTAACTCTGCATCAGCTTTTAAGGCCCTTTCAACCAGGGCCGTACCCAAGGGGGGGGATTAGGGGGTTCGAAACCCCCCCGAAATGCTGAGCACTTTGTTATATAGTGTTATAAGTGTTAAAAACTTTGTTTTTTTGTTATTTTAGTGAGTTAATTTTAATTTTTTGTGAATTAATTTTTCATGTGTTAATTAATTATATAGTGTTTCATTTTTATTGTTAGGTTAAATAGTTGATAGAATATTTAATTTTAAGACAAAACTGTTTCGAAAAAGCTATGAAAGGGAGCTACACCCTCTAAAAAAGGTACGTTTTTTGAAGGGTCTTTCCTAATTTTTCAGAATAGATGAAATTACAAAATTTGGTACCTTTATACTTATGTACACCTAAACAAGTGCCAAATAACAAAATTTTTAATCAGGGGCGTCCTAAACTGTAAAACAAATTTAATTTTTAATTTTTATGCTGTTTATGGTCTGTAACATAAATTTTTAAACCGATTTTTACTAAATATCCGTAAATTGTATCGGAAAAACACAAAAGACCTTTTTTATAAAAAACTATGAAATTTTGTTGCTGAAAGTGGCAAAAAACCACAGGCAATATAGTTAGAGTAAATTTTTACCCTAATCCAATCTAGTTTAGGAAGCCCCTAATTAAAAATTTCAACATTTTATTTTTGTACTTGTTTAGGTGTATAAAAGTTATCATCTGTACCAAACTTTGAAATTTTTTTCTAAAATGATTTCGGAAATATGGAAAAAATCCTATTAAAAGGCGCACCCCTTGCGTAGCATTTTTTGCTATATGTTCACAGAAAATTTTTATTTTAAAAATGAATATTTTATCTTCTGTTTAAATTTGTAACAATAAAAAGTATTAAAAATTTATTTTATTTTTTGTTACTTTAGTGAGTTAATTTGTATTTTTTTATGTTTAATTATGATCTCTTATTTCAATTTAAAATAAAAACGTGTACTTAGAGATTTTTGCTTTTTAATCCGCCTTCTTTCATTTCATTTTCATGGACCAACAAGAAATAAAATCCTGGTGACGGCTCTGCTTTCAACTATTTCTTGTGGAATATCCTCTTCCATCACGAAAACAGATTACGCAACGCGCAAAAACGTTCGAGAAAATTTTTAAACAATTCGGTATGCCAAGACAAATTTTGCCATAGATACATGACAAAGCAACTGCGCTTTTTGATTCATAGCACTGAATTATTGAAGATTTTACCAAAAATCGATTTAAAAGTGAAAAATAAAACAAATTCTCGGTGTCTGAAACCGTTAAAAACTGCCTTAACTCCAATTAAAGCCTTCAACCCTGTAATAATAGTCTTCAAAATGTTTCCAAACACTTCGAATAGAGCTAATATCAGAACGGGAAAATATCCGGATTAGTGTCACATTATCCCAATGCAGGCGTCACTTTTCACCTCCTGGTGCCCCCTTAATCCCGAAATTACATGTCCACACGTCTTGGTGTCTTTGTTTTGGCTGCTTGAGCTCTTCCGGTCTTATTTTTAGTAAACGATGCAAACTTTGTGACACTTTTCTCTTGGGACAAGCGTTGGGAATAAATCACAGAGAGGCCGGAAGCCGATAACTCACCACTTTATCGTCTTCCTCTCCGATAATGGAGGTAACAAAACAATCAAAGCCGTGACATTTCGAAAATTTCATTTAACACAGCTCAATTCACTCGAGCGATTTTAAATTCTAACGTTTAAACGAAAAAAGGTTGCAACCCTTTGGGGCATTGTAAGGGCGCAATGTTTCGGAAAAATCACGCCGATTTAATTACGGTCTTGGCCACCCAAGGAGGGGTGATGCAAGATTTGGGAGAAAGGGTGGATTTTATATTGTACAACACAGAGAGACACTAGGTTTTATTTTATGCTCGGTTATATATCGACACAGCGTGCGTAATTCACTTAATTCGGAACGGATTTTATCGAGATATGTTGGAAATTGGGACAAATTAGGAGGGATGGGGGTGATGGAGCGCTCGTATACACGAAATAACACTAACATTTAAATTAATATCACAAGAACGACGATTAGGTCTTTGGAATCCCAACACATTAAGTCATTCGACGCTCATTCCTGAAACAGAAAATGACAAATATTTCAGTTTACAAATACTTGTTTTTTGGTTATATTACGAAAAAAATTATTTGTGTTCTCCGCTATTTTGTATCACAAATAATTCTTAAGATATTCGCTGTCAATTTAGGACAAGTGAGCTTCTCTAAAGAGTGCAAATTCGCTAGCTGATATCTCAAAAACCATTTAAGATTCAAAAAAAGCGAAAAGGCCATTTTGTAGGGAATTTTATAAGCTTTGATCTTGTCCATGAAACTTTTTTGCGTAACACACCGTTTTTGATATAGAGAGTGAACCAAAAGTAGCGCACAAAATTTATAATTCTATGGTTCATTTTTTTTTAATCTTGAAACAGGTCGATTTTATTTTTGCAAATGATACATTTTTATTATACTATTATTTATAACGTCAATGTTTCTTTAAGTAAGTACGTTGGCAGATTTTTTTAAATGGCAACCAACATTTTTGTTTACTGTTTTTGGTAATATATTTTTTTTTTATTGAAAAATGTGCCTATTACCAAAAACAGTCAACAAAATTGCTGGTTACCAAAAAAAATAAAAAAATAATGATGACGTTAAAATGAAGCATTTATAAAAATAAAATCGACTAGTTTGAGGATTTTTTGAAAAATGAGATAACAAAAATATGAATTTTATGCGTTGTTTTTGGTTCACTCTGTAGGTATAAGCAAAAAAGCATACAGTGGCAGATGTTTGATTTTTAATATTAATAGCGATTTTGTTTTGTTACATTTGGGTTAGTTTTAAACTTATTACAAAATAGAATAATATACAGAGTGATTTTTTAGATATTTGTTTGTGTGTAAATATTTTTCAATAAATCATATTTTTTTCTATACCTACTCAACTCTACATTTTTTATATTTCCCGAGTGGTTTTTATTTACTTTTGTAAACTCAAAAAGCAATTTAAAACAAAAAGTGCACGAGATTGTACTTTCTCTCTGATTTTCAGAGTTAATGTATAAAAAAAAAGTGATGTTTAAAACTATTAAAATGAAATTTGTCGTGTTTTTGGTTTTTTTTTTGCATACAAAATATGACATTGAGATTTTCTTAGCTGTTTTTGTTTATTTTTGTTGCAACTTCACTAAAATGTTAAAAAAAGGATTCAAATTTCTAGCCCAGAACAAATTGTGGGGAATTCTTTATTGCAGGGCTGGGAAATAAACGACCCATAGTTATGTTTTTTTGTTTATATTACGAAAAAAATGGTTATGTACAAAATTGAAGATTATAAAATTTTCTACAAAACCGTGTTTTCTGTTTTTTTGTAACACAAATAATTTTCGAGTTATTCGTTGTCAGTTATGAGACAAAGTGGGACAAAAAAATTGTTCTTTAAAGAGTGTAAATTTGCTAGCTGATATCTCAAAATTGATTTAAGATTTAAAAAAACGAAATGACTGTTTTGTAGGAAATTTTATAAGCTTTAATTTTGTACATAAGCATTTTTTCGTAACACTCATCGTTTTTTGAATACAAKCGAAAAAATATCAAATGGCACTTTTTTAGTTGTAATATTAATAGCTTGCAATTTTGTTTTGTTGGTCTCAWATTTAATACAAAATGAAATAAAATTTACACAGCGTAGTAAATATACAGGGTGATTTTTTAGTTCCTGATTTCTGTGCCGAAAGTGGATAAGATTAAACTTTCTAATTTTCTGATTTAATTTTTTTTGGAAGAAAATAATCTTAAAATTCTTTAAAAATGAAATTTGTGATGCTTGTCGTTTATTTTTAATTTTTTGTTTCTGTTTCTATTTTGAATCCCATATTTACTTATTACAMAATAAAATAAGATTTAGACAGCGCATTAATTTACAGAGTGATTTTTTGGAATATTTGTTTGTGAGTAAATATTTTTCAAWAAATCATATTTTTTTCTATACTCAACTTTACAACTTTTTTTAATATTTCCCGAGTGGTTTTTATTTATTTTTGAAAAACTCAAAAAGCAATTCAAAGCAAAAAGTGCACAAGATTGTACTTTTTTTCTGGTTTTCAGATTAAATGTTTTTGAAAAAAAAATATTTCTAAAACTTTAAAATGAAATTTGCCATGTTTTTGCCTTTTTTGCATACAAAATATGAAATTGAGGTTTCCTCAGCTGTTTTTGTTTATTTTTGTTGCAAATGCACTCAAAATGTTAAAAAAAGGATTTAAATTTGTACCCCAGAACAGAATTTTTGATTTCAGGGCTGGGAAATAAACGACTCAAAAAAATGGTTATGTACAAAATTGAAGTTTATAAAATTTTCTACAAAACCGTGTTTTCTGTTTTTTTGTAACACAAATAATTTTCGAGTTATTCGTTGTCAGTTATGAGACAAAGTGGGACAA